AAATTGCAGGGCAAAAATTATCTTTACGGACTATGAGCCAATGTAAATGAGAAAATGTACCAGTCAGCTAGATTGCTGATGTGACACAGGAAGTTGAGAAAAGTCTAGGAAGAAACACACCTGTAGAGTGAGGAAGAGATAGATTTAATTACACACATTAAAAGGCATGAACAGATAAATAAACAGACAAGCAAAAGCACAGTAAGACTCAAGGACATTCTCTTGTGCGCTGTTGTCAGAGACCTGAATGAGAATTAATGAGCTCATTCAATTACTGTGCAGAATTACAAAAAAGCAACATGATGAATGGCAAAAGCGAGCATCTCCTGTTTTTCCAGAAGACTAGCAGTTAGGGATGTAACGATTCGCGATTTTGATTTCACGATTCGATTCGATTCACGATTTTATTTTTAACAAAATGAGATTTAAGACAAATTCTAAATTAAATGTGTCCTTTTATTATTGCTTGGACAAAATACTGTACGTTTCTTTGTGAAATTTAAATATAACACTATAATAATATACTAATATAGCACTTGCATATTATTGCTCTTTTGTTGGTTTTGATTGCTTCTATTGTCCTCATTTGTTAGTCGCCTTGGATAAAAGCGTTTGCTAAATAACAAAATTTAAATTAAATTTAAATGTAAATAACAAAACTACATTTAAAATTTTAAACAAGCCCCAAATCAAATAAATAAGTAACACAAATAAAATAAATCTCTTCATATAAACAAACTAAGGCTTTGTCTGTGCTCTTTCCATTTAAAATTAGAGGCAACCACTGCATTTTAATCATGATCCAAACAAAGATGCTGCATACATGCAACATGAGCAGTTTTTAATCTAAATTACATTGTATAATTTCTTAATTTGAAGCAAAAACAGAATGGTTTCACTTCAGTTTTGTGAAACTATGCATAAAAAAATATCTGTATGAAACAGAAACAGCAGAACTGAATGAGACGCAGATTCACTCTCTGCCAGCAGGTGGCGCTTAAAGCGTTTTCTTGGTTTCCGCTGTAAACAAAGCAGCGCTGCACTTATGAACTTATGCAGGGCTCCGGACTGCGACCATTTTTTCTGCCTGTGCGACTAAATTTTGTGCGGTCGCTCTGGTGCGACCACCGCGTTGGTCAACTCATAAGCGCTTAAATTTCTGTTGCATATGAGAAACATCAAAGGGCAAACGAAACTGAAAGCATAACGAAACAGCGCTTAGAGAGTATACCTACTCGGCTACAGCAAAAATGACACGCATATTGAGGAAACGATGATTTTCAAGCGAAAGTCAGGTAAAAGACCGCTTCTTAAACCAGAGAAGGTGAACATGCTGGTATTCTTGTGGGGGGGAAAACATGCAAGCACTGTCACCGTTAGTTTTACTTTTCTTTTTGTTTTCATTTTTGAAAAACTTATCTTTGCTGTTTACCTCACATTACGCTATTGAGGCTCTCTTTTATTTATTTATTTGATTCCTCAGTGTTTGCTAAAC